ATTGGCTACTAACAATGGTGATGTTGCGTATTTTTTTTCACAATACATATAAGAAATTGGTTTGATGTTTTTGATCGATGTGTATTTTTCAGAATCCAAGAATGAAAATAAATTATACAGAAAAGATGATAAAAAATAATCTAAATTTCAATCTGGTTTGAACAGTGTTGGTTGCTCTTGTTCACTTTTGAGTGAAAGAAGAATTTGGTTCACTCTAGAGTATAGAGTCTACGGGTTCAATTTTTATTGATACGGCGTCAGACGTCAATGCAGAAAGAACTCTTTTTCTTGATTATAATCTACTGAAGATTTATGCACGTCATTTAGTGCAAAAGCATTCATTGCCCTACCTTACGCGAGCACCATCTGTTCGGTTTTAACATGAAAACAAACAAATTGATCCATACAGAGTTATAAAACAATAACATCTCTATGTAGAGGAAACGCTGTAGTTCGTTTTGTTCGGCACATTTTTTATACACTGCCTCTATTCCCACCGATTCATATATCGGTTGGCAGGTGGAGTCACTTTGCTTGTTCTCGTGTTCGCACCGAAGAGATGGGACGTTCGCGTTAGGGAGGGCAATAAATGCTTTTGCACTAAAGGTATGATGTACGTAAAGGGATAATTACATGCGAAATCTCACTTCATATATATAGAGCACCAACTTCACCCCATTTCATTTTCTAGCCAATATGTGTACAAAGGACAAGTCCCAAACTTTTGAAAGCTGATCGTCTTATGTCAAAATCAACAATTCCAGACGCACTCTTAGAATTTTTCAACATAAGAATGACATAAATACGTAGAAGCTTCTGAGTTACCTAACGAACGCACAAACGAAGACACAACAGCGGAGAAAACACAAGCCAGAGAATGTGCGCGCTACACTCATTCGCCTTCTGCTCGGTTCGTTCATCGAGCGAACGGTTTCTGTGTATATGTGACAATAAGGTTCAACTGGACGAGCGCACGTTCAATATTGCCACATATACACAGACACTGTTTGCGTTGTGTATGAATGCTCGATGAACGAACTGAGTAGAAGCGAATGAGTGTAGGGTGCACACTGCACAAGCACATTCTCTTGCTTGTATTTTCTCCGTTGGTTTGTCTTCGTTTGTGCGTTCGTTGGGTAACTCAGAAGCTTCTGCGTACTTATGTCATTATTATGTTGAAGAACTTCAAGAGTGCGTCTGGAATTGTTGATTTTGACATGAAACGATCAGCTTTCAAAAGTTTGGGACTTGTCCTTTGTATAAACTCAATTGTTGGTCTTGTCAAACTGTACAACTTTGCAAAAGACAATGATCGTTAATCAGTTGAAATAAATGAATTATTAGAAGATTTGCTCACTGCTTGAACACCTACTCTAACTTACTCACACAAATACAAACACAAATACAAACACTTTTTTCAATATAAAGTCTGTGAAACATACAATACTCTCAATGTCACCAATAGATATAGGTTGTGTTGGTGCAAAATGCTACAGTGACAGAATTCCCTCGTACACAATCCAAAATATCTGCCACAAGTGACATTTTTTCAATCGTACCCAAACTTTTGATCGGCACTAAGTACGGCTCTGGTTTCGTATGAGATTCGCTTATGTCTTTTTTCAACGTATTCAGTATTCACCTTATTTTGTGATGTAAAGTAAATATGATTCCGTACTCTAAAGCCTTTGTGAGGTACTTTACACCACAAAAATGTAGCTGTCATGGAATATCACCTCAAAAGTGGTTTGTTGTCAGCGATATGTGGTACTTTCAAACATTTATTTTGTAACGGCATGTAAACGACGATCCATCTGTGGTTATTTTTTAACTTTGAAACGACTTTGGAACGGAGTGTGTTTTGTACATACTGAGAAGATGTAAACTTCTGATATTTTCAATGCGATCCATTTGATGTGAAACGCCAAATTAAACACACGTGCACAGTCGGAATTGTAATTCCATCAATTGTTTTGACATTGTTATTTTGACATTGTTATTATTCGTATGTCCATCAAACAGTTCGTCAATTCTTATCAGTTGATACGTTTACAGTAAACTTTTGATAGTTCGGAGCTGGAAAAATGCTGAGTCGATGATCCTTTACACTGCTGCTCATTGGCTTGGTGGTATCCGAGGTGAGTCGACAATTTTAGTCAATTTTTTGTAATTTTAATATTGCTTGGAATTCTTTTCATTTGCATATTTTGGATCAAATTATTTTACATTTGATTCTGTCAGTCGAATATTTAACCCTCTAATGCATACAACCGCCTCTAGACGGGCAACATTTAAACGCCTATAGAACGTAAACCGTACATGGGATCACATTGCTTCGAAGAGAATTTTTATTTGTCAATGTTCTCTCTTTATTTTTATCTTTGGCAATATTTGTCTATGTAGTGTGATTGTAAAGTTATAAACAAAAATGTGTGCAAAAACATAAATTTGACAAAATAAATTATTCGAACTCCAAATTAGACAAACTTTTGACACTCTTAAACAATGGATTTGATTGTTCTCTGATTTATGTCAATCGCATTTTCTGACTAAACTAGTGTTGGCGTCGAACGTCCGTTCGTTCGTCAACATAAAAAGAAACTGTTTTGTTCGTTCGGAAGGTTGGAAATAAATTATTTTGTTCGTTCGTTCGTTCGTAAAATTGAAAAATAATTTTTTTGTTCGTTCGTTCGTTCGGATAATATGCTACGGTCGAACACGTTCGGATTTTATCAAACTATTCATATTACAATAATGATTTGTTTGTAACTCGTATGTAAACAACACACCAGTAGCAATGTACAATCACCAAGCAGTCGGTGCACAGTGTGCTCCGCACATTGTTGTTGATATATTCCCGGCAAAATAACATTTTATGAATTTAATCCCAATGCGTTTGGCTTGTGTTTTCTTCTGCACCGTTCTAGGGCACATCATAAAATGTTTGTTGGAGAGTCACAAACGGTGACAGCTACACGACACGAAAACGTTATGATTTTAGTCTTGCTTTCGATAAAGAAGTAATATTGAGTGAAAAAAGTGAGTTTACTTTTCTTTGGATTACAAAATTATTTCTGAATTCTTCATTTTTAGCATTTCAAGCAAATATTGTTCATTTTATTTTCAAAGATCCCAATGAATTTGATTTGTGTTCATGGTGGCACAAAAGTCGGTATACTTTTCCAAAGAACCTTCCCCATTTTAAAAGTTTTTCTACACTATTTTTTACACACCGTCTCCACTTGCATTTATTTTCCATTACATTAGATACACTTCGACCGTTGAAATCCAATGGAAGTGGAGAATAGTTGAAAGCTGCCGCTTATTCTTTATATCGATTATTTGTATCCAAGGCCGGGATAACAGCATCATCAGCACCATCAGAACGGAAATTTAGTGAAACGGGCATATTGATAACAGCGCGTCGTTCCAGTCTCCTGCCAGAAACTGTTTCTAATTTGGTTTTGGCACGAAATGGTCTTATGAACTTTCTTTAAATTTTTTAGATGAATGATTTGTATAATAGTTTTGCATAAAACAGATATTTTCCAATATTTTGATTCAATAAAATCCGAACGTGTTCGACCGTAGCATATTATCCGAACGAACGAACGAACAAAATAATTTTTTTTTAACTTTCCGAACGAACGAACGAACAAAACAGTTTCTTTTTATGTTGACGAACGGTCGAACAAGTGTTCGAATGTGTTCGAAGGCCAACACTGGACTAAACCATGAGGAATCCAGGATTATGAATATTTTTTTAATTATCTATGGCCAAAAATGAACCAAGTACCAGTACTCCCAGCCCTGGGAAAAATTAATGCATTAGAGGGTTAAGATAATTTTTTCAAAACTAATTTCGAAAAATGTCCATTTTCAAGTTTTTCGATAGAAAAATAAATAATCTTCCACTCTAGAAAGAAAATGTCCATCGGAAACTTTTGTTCGAATGAAAAACAGTTGATAACCATTATAATAATATCATCCGATGTTCCCATTACAATTGTATCACTTTATTTTATTTCCACAGGTCCTAATCGTGGATGTGAATGGAGACGGTAAGAATAAAGCTCCATTTCTTTATCAAGTTTCACTCTCGGTTTTTTCGGTTTTTGTCATATCTCTCCATTTCATTCTATTTTTTCTATGAAATCGAAGAGAGCCTCTGGATAGCGTAATATTCATTCACCTATCCTCTCAGTTTATCTAGAAGAAATACAATATCCAAGCGCATCGGTTACATGTTACACATAATATTTGACATGCTTCGCATGTATACAGTATAGTGAATTTGATCGAGTAGACAAAACATTGTTTTCTCAATACCGCACACAAGCAATACATGTGAAGCGTGTGTCCGATGTGCTAGAGTTTTCTTGTCGGACGACCGCATCTCAAGAGCAAAACAGTTCATTATAAATATAAAAACCAAATTTAAAACGTATACAAACAATAAACCATTATCGTAAACAATAAACCATTATCACACACTTATAATCTCGCATTGATTGTATACAGAAAACGAAGTGTGAAATTGTGGGGCGACGTGGATTTCGTGCGGCAAAATTCAGTACTTATTGGTGTGATTGAGCTGTAAATAGCCGTAAGTGATTTCGACATATTGTGAAATACCACGAAATCACACCAATTAGTACTGAATTTTGCCGTACGAAATCCACGGCGCTCTACAATAGTTCAAAATTTGACAATAAACGGGTGTAGTGGATTAAGCTAATTTTTCAGGTGTCATATCTTTCCGAACAATGGATTAGCTTAATTTACTTCACGCGACACATCCATGTACCAAGTGTTTATTTTTTTCAAGGTCGTTATATGAAATTATCTTTGATTAAGCATTTATCTCGATTGAACATGTACGAGTGGTGATCCGTCTCATGTTAGATGAATATTCAAATCTTGGCAAATTTGCCGAAATGTCTTCGGGTGGGGCGATTTCAATTGTAGATTTTATGTATTTTGACCAAAAAAATTTATCCTTAGGATAAATTTATCCCGAGGAACATAAATAGACTGTCAGAGTCCGGTTTGATTTTGAATGACGGTAACATCCGGAGATTTCTTTGCATTTTCTTAAATGAAGTGTGTTCAATCAATTGATGTAGCTCTTTATCATTAGATGTGCAATCTAAAAATTCGCTCACGTGCTTAACAAAGGCCAGCGTATTTGCTGATAATTCTTTATTCGTTATCAAAAGAAGATGATCCAAGTGATGGAGTTGACGAAAGCTTTGAACATGCCGATGGTACGGTGCCGAGTTGATGTAATCATTGTATAAGCTATGGGAGAATTCGTGTGCACTGCCCTTGAAAGGAAAAACTATACGATTACGAATCATATGATAAAATGAGACAGCAATATATTTGACATCACGACTGATGTGAATGAGTTTTGGTCCAACAGTCCATATTTCCTTGGGCAGCAAATAAGCTGGTAAATGTGATGTCATCAACCGCGGAGACGGAAGCATATCTAACCCTTCAAAAAGTTTTTCTAGTTTCTCAACCGATTTTGCAAATTCCTCGTCACCGTCGATCTTATCGAGAATCGTATGCACCTCAAGAACATTGGCAATTGGCAAGACGACTTTTGTGTCGAGATTGTGCTTCAATGGATGCACAATATTTTGCATCCATGTAGTGCCTTCAGAACGATGAATTTAAAACAAAATGTAACATGAAATTACGTGCTTGATATCGATACGAATACAAATACTACTTGTTAGGTACGATTTAGTGTAGGTTTTATTGAAAAATATATGAAACATGACTCAAATAATCATCACCAAATTAAAATCAAAAATAAATACATATTTGTATTCAACAATTTTTCTTACTTTATCAACAAAATCCAAGTGTACTCTATCTTCTACAAATGACAAACAATTCTTCGCAATATTAATCAGTGTTCAATGGGAAATATCTCATTTTGAACCATATTGCAATATTTTCACTCAATTGCTAGTTCTTTCTTGTTCCTCTCCGTCCATTCGTCGAAGTTTTTTACATCTTCTTCAGACATTTCATCCCGATAGCCACCGACTTTGCCTTTACGACAAAACCTAAAGAACAAAAATAATTGAAATAATACATGCACATATTTTCATTTTTTGTTATTGAAAATATTCACAAACTCACTTGAAGTCCGGATTAAATCCCGGTATCGTTGTGAGTTTTCTTTGCATCTTTTCGAATGAAGCCTGTTCAATCAGTTGATGCAAATCTTCGTCACTATATTTGCATCCTAAAAATTCGCTCAATCGTTTAACAGAGGCCAATGTATTTGCTGACAATTCTTCATACGTCATCAGAAGAAGATGATCCAAGTGATGGAGTTGACGAAAGCTTTGAACATGCTGATGGTATGGCCCCCATACAAAATAATCGTTGTAGAAACTATGGAAGAATTCGTGTGCACTGCCTTTGTAAGGAAGAAAAATACTATTACGACACATATGATAATGGGAGACGGCAACATCCTTGACATCACGACTCATGTGAATAAGTTTCGGTCGAACAGTCCATATTTCCTTGGGCAGTAAATAAGCCGGTAAATGTGATTTCATCAACCGTGGAGACGGAAGTGTATCCAACTCTTCAAAAAGTTTTTCACGTCTCTCAATAAATTTTGCAAATTCCTCGTCACCGTCGATATTATCGAGTATCGAATGTATCTCAAGAAAATTATTGAGTGGCGAGAAGATGGTCGAGTCCAGATTGTTTTTCAATGGATATACAATATTTTGGATCCAAGTAGAGCCTTCAGAATAGTTAATTGGAAACAAAACATAATACGTACATAGAATTGACTTGATTCGAAAAATTGTTTTTCAATGCGAAAAAAAAAATGTTTTAAAAAATGTAAGCATACCAGTTTTTGGAAAACCTAGCACCCAAATGTCGTCTGATCGAACCTTGAAATTTTGAATACGTTCAGCCCAATCGACATATGTTCGTGGTTGTAAACAAGAGAAGTATTTGTAATCCTTTGGAAAAGGTAATTGATCATACGTTGCCGGATCGATAGTTGCACGCACTATTCCGGCAGTACCATGAAATGGTCTGGCCTTACAATTATTTGGATTTTCTACCTCTGTGAATATGATTGACATTGTAGATTTTAAAAAGTTATACAATGGCTGATATACAACTGTAACGTTTCACCGAATTGTCTCAGTTTAAATAGCAAAACAAAGCTTATTTACCACAAAGCAAACAATTTTTAGACAAAACCTAACACCGCCAATATTTTACAAATTATCAGCCGTTCCTCTGTTTTCTTCATTGAATGGAAATTGAAGATAAGATTGAACTCGTTAAACTCCAATCTTCCTAGCGGTGATAAGATAAAAACATGACCACTTCAGATATTATTGAGTGTAACCCCGTTTTAATGAAAGCTGAAACGTCTGAAATCATATTTTGAAATTAATAAAGATGTCCATGATGAACAGTGAAAACCCATATTAACAAATTGTTGATGGGTTGCATTCATTAGCAAAAATATGGAAAATTTAATTATTGGGTCAATTCGAAAGTTTCCGCCGCTGACATTTAAATGTCGCCACTTGTAACTGAGCGTAGCTTGACAAGTGAATCCAATTGCATTTTGTAGATGTGACATTTAGCAATCTATCTCAGAGCAGAAAGATTCATTTTTCGTTCTGCGTCATTGTTTTTGAATCGATTGAAAATGGATCGTGATAAGGTGTTTTTTCGAGGGGCCCTTCTTTTCTTATTTGATTCGAAGAAAACTGCCGCTGAAGCTCATCGAATGCTGTCAGATACTTATGGCGAGCAAGCTCCATCGGAACGAAGCTGCAGAGAATGGTTTCATCGATTCAAAAGTGGTGATTTTGACTTGAAAGACAAAGAACGTTCAGGTCGGCCAGAAGCGATTGAAGATGTCGATTTGCAAGCATTATTGGATGAAGACCCAACCCAAACGCAAAAAGAACTTGCATTGCAGTTAAACGTCGGCCAAACAACCATTTTCAGACATTTGCACGCCATGGGAAAGATTCGGAAGCTGGGAAAATGGGTTCCACATCAACTGTCTGAAGAGCAACTTCAAGCACGAATCGCAATATGCACAAAACATCTTGCAGAGCACAAAAGAAACAGTTTTTTATATTGGATTGTTACCGGCGATGAAAAATGGGTTTATTATGGGAACCCCAAACGTAAGGCAGCGTATGTTGATCCAAGCCAACCGGCACCACACACAAAATAGTCGGTTTGTCAGATTTCAGATATTTGACATAAATGTCAGTTCATGTGAAATTTAAATGAATTTCACATAAACCGTGCCTATATAAATGTATGG